CCGGCCGACCCAGGGGCTTGGCGGTGCGGGGTCGGGCTGCGGGTCCCGGCCCCCACCTTGTGCCTTCGCCCTGACAGAGTGGCAGGAGCGACCCGTCTAGCTCCCTGAGGGGGGTGAGGGGGAAGGACACGCCGGGAGAAGGAAGGAGAGGTAGCGCTCAGCTGTCGGTCCCCAATGTTTTGGCATTCACGTGCTCCACCTTAGGGGACCAGGCCCTCCTCCTTGGGCCTCTGGGCTCCCGGAACACCCACACAAGGGCCACAGCTGGGTGCCGGTGTTCCCTCTAAGCACTTGTGTAAGAGCCGCTGTCTCTGTCTCTGCAGATTACGCCGACAAGCCCTTGGAGAAGCCCCTGAAGCTGGTCCTCAAGGTGGGAGGAAGCGAAGTGACTGAACTCTCGGGGTCTGGCCACGACTCCAGTTACTACGATGATAGGTCAGACCACGAGCGGGAGAGGCACAGAGAAAAGAAGAAGAAAAAGAAGAAAAAGTCCGAGAAGGAGAAATACCTGGACGACGAAGAAAGGAGGAAGCGAAAGGTGAAAGCGGTGGCCAGCGTGGTAGCCCCAAAACCCCCGGGGGCAGAGGACGGGCGCAGCGGGGGCTTAGCAAACGGGGGTCCTGTCTGTAGCAAAACGCAGACCGAGAAGGCGGTCGCTTCACTTTGGGCTCCTTGAGCAGCGCTTCTCGCAGGGGCGGGAGTCTGGGCTGAGGGCTTTTCCCATAGAAACAGCAGATCCGCTTAAAACCTTGCATCGCTCTCGCCGCCTTCATCTCATAGGAGGAGAAGAAGCGGAAACGGGAAAAGGAACACTGTGACACGGAGGGAGAGGCCGACGACTTTGATCCTGGGAAGAAGGTGGAGGTGGAGCCGCCCCCCGATCGGCCCGTCCGAGCGTGCCGGACACAGCCAGGCGAGTGCCGGCATTTTCAGAGCCTGCCTTGGAGCTTGTCACTGGAAAGTTGTGGTCGGCACCGTGCCTTTCGGCCTTTGGGGAGAAGTACAGAAAGGCGGGAAGGACCAGTGTGTTCTCTTCCAGGCCCTCGCGTTAGGTGTAGTTGGCCCTGAGGTTCTCACTGTCATCTTTGATCTAGAGCGGGGCTGGCCAGCTGCGGCTCCTCGCCGTTTTCCTTAAGCCCGTGAGCCGAGAGGCTCATCGTAGCGGGAGGGGCCTGGTGCTGGACTCAGTTATTCGGGCCTCCAGGAACCCTGGGAGCCATGTCGGCTCCCCCAGAGGAGCTTCTGGAACCTTCTGACCTGTGTAGGGTCACATCACTCCGAGGTTCTGGATGTCGGGGGGTTGCCCTTCAGGCATTTCTTTTCTTGCTGGGGGAGGCGGGAAGTATCTCATGGCAATCATGGCGAGTGGCGCCGTTTTCTGGCAGGATCCCTCGTGTGAGTCACCCCACGCTGAGCGGTGGGACTCAGGCAGCTGGGCACGTAGGGGAGGAGAAGGTTAGGTGCACACAACAGTTCATTGAATGAACGTGTCTGCAAAGTTAATTCGGTCGCTGGTGACTGTTAGCTGAGTCCAGTTGACCTGCTTGAGGTCGCACACCCGGTAGCTCCCCCCTCCCCCGCCAAAACTCCCAGTGTGCTTGAAGGGCTAATGCCCGCAGGCCACTGTGTTGCCCCGCCTCGTCACTGCAGGGCGTCGCTGTCGGGCTCGCCGGTCTGCACTCCTTCTGTGATTCAGCCCTGGAATGGGCTCTTTCTCCAGGGAGTGCTGATCCTTCAACGGGGAATGGCATTCAGAAGCTAAACTCTGGGCGCTGGGTGTGGCCCTCAGTGGACTGAGCTGGGAAATGCCGTTACGAACATAGGGCTTCTAGGGGGACCTAGATGGACTGCGTTTACAGTCACTAGAAGCTGTGTTTTCGCATGGGGGCCCAGAGACGTAGCCGCCGTGCTCGTGACCCTGTGCATGTATCGTCTGCGGCTTACAAATGAGCGGGCGCATCCAGAGTTTAGGGCTCAGGTGATGCGTTGGTTGGTGAAGCCAGGGTCAGCTTCCGTGTCCACAGCCTCCCTCCCTCATCTGTAGTGTACCAGGCCCAGTGGTGATCGGGGCTGGAAACAGGCCGATGAGTGGTAGCTCTGCGTTGTCTTGAGGGATATTGGCGCACTCGGGTTTAGGGACTGATGCGTGGGTGTGCTTTCCCACACAGCTGAGCTTCGTGGGAGCCAAGAGTGGATCTGGTTTACTTTTCTATCTAGTTTCTGTTGGAACCTCGTCATTAAATTTCCAGTTTAGGAAAAAAAGTGCAGCTTGCTGCCAGTGTTAATTTAGTTTTACACAAACACGCTCTTTGAGGCTGAAGCAGATCTGACTGGTTTTCAATGTGAAAATAAAATATGAAAACCGTTCTTGGAGTTATTTCTAAATAGAACTTGTCTCTGATCTTAATGTGACAAACGTGTACATAAACCGGATTCAACAGGTGAATCTTCAGCTAACTACTGGTTGAAAACGGTGTTAACGTCACGTGTAGGAACGCTGTGTTTCCTAGCATTTGATGTTTTCAGCGATCGAGAATTACTGCTTTTATAAACAAAAATACTGTTACTGAAAGTAGAATGTTGTAAATAGGCTGTTATCTGTTTCCAGAGATATCAGTATACTAGAGCGATGTGAAAGTTATAATACAGGTGACATCAGGACTGTGACCCAGGTGTCGTCACAGCGCAGCTGCCACAGCGCAGCTGCCGCAGCGCCTGTGCCACCGGCCCGCATTCTTGAGGCGAACAGGAAGTGGACCTCAGAACAAGTGCACTGTGAAATGGGAGCTCTTCAGAGAAGCGAGAGCAAACTCTTTGTGTTCAATTATTTACTTATTTATCTTTTTGCTTTTTAAATCATCAGCTGAAAATGAGAGCACGCCTATTCAGCAACTGCTAGAGCATTTTCTCCGCCAGCTCCAGAGGTAAAGAGTGTTTCGAAAGACCTCGTGCTTGGGGACATTCGGGTGTCTTTCAGGTGTTCTCGCCCCCACCCCATGGCCTATGAAGCGGACACTTCACCTTCACCAGCAACACCCAGTCTGACAGGGCGGGCAGGCATACGGGAGCAGAGCAGGGAGGGCGGTGTCCGCAGAGTCAGCATGAGGGGTGTCATGCTGCGCCGTGGACGTCACGGCTGGAGCCAGGTGCTGGATTTGGAGTTTTTAGTATATCCAAAACACCTACCACAGTTTTAAGGAGCGTAAACTTATTTTTTATCTGTAAGGAACTAACTTTGGTTAATTGCATCAGATTTTTATTGTGAAGGATTTTGTGTCATTCGGAATTTAGATTTTAGTTTTCTAGTTTCAATTTAAAGATGTTTTGTTTTCAGAAAAGATCCTCATGGATTTTTTGCTTTTCCTGTCACGGATGCAATTGCTCCTGGATACTCCATGATAATAAAACACCCCATGGATTTTGGCACAATGAAGGACAAGATTGGAGCTAATGAATACAAGTCAGTCACGGAATTCAAGGTAAACTGATTTCAGTCCCTAAAGCAGTTCTCAGGAGGCTCTGCACTGGTTTACGTCCAGTGCGTGCTTCGTCCGTCTCACGTTTCCCATGGCACGTTTTCGCAGGTGTTTCTGCGCTCGAGCTGATGTTTCACAGAGTCAGGGAAATGGGTTGGTTGTAATTTTCTCTCTTTTGGTCTAGAAGCTGGTCCACACGTTACGTGCTATTAGAAATGCCATATTTTTTGAAGTTACTGTGCTGCCATAAAGGGGACACGGTTGGTGAAGCAAAGATGTGGCCTGGTCCAGAATGGGTGTTTTTAGAAATATCGTTTTCCTAATTCTTAGTTTTGTCTTAGAGTAACTGGGAGTTGGGTTTTAGAATGATAAATTCTGACAATCTCTGAGCACTTTCTTAACTAACTCTTAGCACCAGTTGTGCGAGGTAGAAATTGCTGGTTGGCTTTGAAATCCTGGGGAGAAGCAAAGCGAATTCTTGCAACACGGGCAGTAGTGTCATTTAGGAAAAGGCGTTGTTGGGTTTCTTTCTTAGGCCTGTTAGCGTTCCATGTTTCCCGGAGACGTCACTGGAAGGGGCTGCTGCCCTGCGGGGACAACGTGGCGGGCCGGAAGTCTGGGAGTGAAGGAGAGTTTTCAGAGGGGGTCGGTGACAGCACCAGGGGGCAGGTGCGAACAGTGTCCGTGCCCTGACCCTCCGCTCCCTGACTGGGAGTTCTCATACAGTGACAGCCAGGTCGTGGGCAGTGTCCACCTGTCTCTCGTCTTCGAGAGAGTTCTGACCCTGACACAGTTGGGACCTGTGTTGCGCTGGGGCTTCACGGCCTCAGGCCTACCTGGCCCTGGGACACTGGCACAGTGACTTGGTAAGGTCCCCAGATAGCATGTGCTACAGTGACAAGTGGTCTCAGTGGTCATTGTCATCCTGATGTCTAATTCCCCTATGAAAGGTGTGTGTTAAATTTTGGTTAGGATATTAAAATGCTGGTGTTTTAAATAACTTACTTTTAACATAAATTGTCGTTCAGTGACACTCTATTTTAAGGGGAGGCTCTTTTTAGTAGCGCTAGAGTAACAACCTGTGGATGAAAATGTAAATTCTGTGGGGAAATCCCAGAGGTGGAGGACCGGACCGCCCACCCTCGGTCCAGCCCTAGGCTTTCCCTTGACCTGGTCCTTGGTCTTTGCCCCTGGCTGTATCTGCGCCCCTCCCGGGGAGGGGAAGGCTGGAGACAGGAAGCGGGGAGCTACCATCTTCCTCACGAAGAGTGCTCATTAGGCTTAGCAAGGCTATTTCATGTAAGTAGAGACCAATGGACAGTTACAAAAACTCTGAAAGAAGTTTAAAGATTTTTTTTTATTTAATCAAAGACCCAAATTTAATTGTTTCCCGTTCAGACCCTTCTTTTTGTCCCTTTGACAGGAATCCAAACTTTTTGCTGTTATCCATGTGGTTTCAAGCTCAATGATTTGTTTTTCTTTTTTCAGGCAGACTTCAAGCTGATGTGTGATAACGCAATGACGTACAACAGGCCAGACACTGTGTACTATAAGCTAGCCAAGAAGATCCTGCACGCAGGCTTCAAGATGATGAGCAAAGTAAGAAGCCCACGGACAGCGCGGGCCATGGAAGCGAGAGTTCTGCACGTGTTTCTGCCCAGACAGAAACTCACACTCAGTGAACGACACGCTTCCACCCATCTGTCCCTGGCCACGGTGTGGACCCCTCTGCTCTAGGGTAGACGCCCCAGGCTGCCTCACCATGTCCCTCTCCCCCAGGCACGCTCCTTCTCCTCCTCCTGATCATGACCTGGTTGTCACGTCTCCTTCAGGGTTGGTGGAAAGTTCCGGGTCAGTTGATCTCGAGCCTGGGTGTCCATCTCACTGGATGGCAGCCAGCCTTTTGGGCTGTGTCGCTTGTGTGGCTGCCTCACGGAATTCAGCTGGGACATCTTGGCCATCCTGAGTGGTTCCCCAGGTCTGTCCCTGTGCCAGGTTGCATGTGTCACATGTCTAGGACCAGTGCCTTGTGGGCCCGTAGGTGAGGCGCAGCCCCGTGCCCTCTGGCCGGCTCCCCTCTGCTAGCTCTGAGCGCTCGCTGGCCAGTTGGCTGCCACCCTTTGGTGCTGACCCCATGAGCACGCCCCACTGCAGCGCATGGAAGGTTAGCTGTTAGGCCAGGTGAGGCTGTGGCCATTCCCACGCATCCCATCGTCACGGCGCCCAGGCCGTGAGGCAGAGGTAAAGTCCGCGCCGCTCTGTGCTTTCTGATTCTAGGAGCGGCTGCTAGCTCTGAAGCGCAGCATGTCGTTCATGCAGGACATGGATTTTTCTCAGCAGGCAGCTCTTTTGGGCAACGAAGATACAGCTGTCGAGGACCCTCCTCCTGAAGTTGTGCCTGTTCAAGTAGAAACTGCCAAGAAATCCAAAAGGCCGAGTAGAGAAGTCATCAGGTAAAGGGCAGGGCGCCGGCCCGTGGGGGCGGACACCCACACGGGAAGGCGGGCGCTGCGGGGTGAGCTGGTGGCGGACACGCAGCGCTTTTGCCGGCATCTCCGGGGCAGCTGGGCCGGGGGGACGTGGCTCCACAGAAGCCTCCATCGTGCTCAGAGGGGCACGGCCATCCCTCCCTGCCACCCTGAGCGTGTGGGTGACGAGTGTCACGGGCACCACTGGGAGGCGCTGGCCAGCTGGTCCCAGGGTCAGGTCTGTGGGAAGTGGTGGGTTACTGTGCGACCCTCGCTCTGCGTGTGGACTCACCACCGCCCTGCAGCCAGCACAGTAGCGTGTCCTGGAGGAGAGTCACTGTCGTACTGGTGGACACAGGAGACAAAGGGCTGGGACAGCCCCTGCTGCTGACGCGCACTCTGTCCCAGCTATGGCACGGCGTGCCTACCTGTCCAGCCCTGCAGCCTGTCCGCTGCTTACTTGTCACAGCTGTTTCCACACGTGTGCGATTCGTGAATACTTGTTGGCCCTTCAGTTCTAAGAAGCCCTTTCATATGCAGGACTTGGGCTAGTGACCTCGGCTTACCTGCCCCGGGCTTGGGACAGTCGTGCTGTGCTGGGCAGCCAGCACGCGTGGCAATGTGCTTTTCTTCCACGCTCCCTGAGCTCCCTGCCGTGGCTGTAAGCGTGGACCAGAGGAGCGGCTTTCCCGTAGCCCCGAATCCCCAGGCAGGCCTGCCCTCGTGGCCCTTTGGAGGGGTCCTGCCCACCAACTTCTAGAACTTTCCACAGCAGAAGCTACCTCCCTCAGGGGCTGCGCCCAGCACCTCTCAGCTCTTTGAATCCAGAACTCCTTGGTGTGGAACCTGGGGTTCGCCTGCCGAAGTCGGCGTCCCTCGGGCCCTCCCGCCACGTGCAGCCCCACACCCCCGTCCCAGCTTGCCACCAGCGCCTTAATCCTCCATGGGATTTTTGTCGCTTTTTTTGATGGCACCTCGAATGTTGCTCTAACTAATGAGGCTCCTGTCATTGGACGTTTCTCGTGTTTGTAAAGTGACCGAAGAGTAGCTGAGCCGTGAGGAACGTGGAGGTTTCCGCGCCTCACGCTTCTCTCCGTCTTCACGGGAGCAGCTTGTTTCACCGTGGTTAGCACTGCAAGGACAGGGAGCGAAAGAGCACTTTGTGCCACTCGTGTTGGCCCTCTGCGTGGCCTCGGGGACACTGGGGACTGGCCACAGCGGGGGGTGGGAGTGGCGTGCGCTGCGTGCCTCCGGGTGACTCGTGTTCTGGTTGCAGCTGCATGTTCGAGCCAGAAGGGAACGCGTGCAGCCTGACCGACAGCACGGCCGAAGAACACGTGCTGGCCTTGGTGGAGCATGCGGCCGATGAGGCGCGGGACAGGGTCAGCCGGCTTCTTCCGGGCGGCAAGGTAGGGGTCCCCGACAGGCGGCGGCGTGTTCTGCCAGGGTAGCGGCGCAGCCGTAGAATCAGTAGTAGGTGTGCGTTAGGATGCCGAGACTGTCTAGTCAGCCCCCTCGCTGGCCTGGGAGAGCCTTTGGCACTGGAGGGTGCAGCTCAGTAGACATCTGTGGTCGGGGTCAGGCCCTCGTCCTCACAGGCGGCGTAGCCTGCTGGCCCGTCTCCTGGGGTGAGGGAGTCTTCTGGGGGCAGACACCGGATCAGAGGTGTGTCAACCTCTGTCACTCAACAGAGGCTGACCCTGCCAGGCTCCTCTGCCGCAGCTTAACCCCGTTCTCTGTGTACTCACGTTTCCGTGTGCCCTGGCAGCCCTCGTGGGTCTGACCAGGTATGGCTGGTAGGAGCCCATTCAGCGGGCCGCTGGTCCTCGGGAGGAGGCCCCACCTCCTTTTGGGCACCTCCCCCCGACCCCAGAAGGTGTTCTGGGCCAGCACTTCGAGCAGAGACAGCACAGGTCACGTGTGCAGCTTCAGACTTCCTAGTGATCACGTAACGGACGTCGACGGAATTTTAATGTTTTTTTATCTGCCATGATAGGTTTAGAGTCTTATTTGACACTTGGTCTGTATAAGAACTTGCTAGAACTTTATTTTTTTTTTTTTTACGTGCGAAGTCTGTCAAACACGTTAGACTGGAAAGGATTTTGAAATGATGATTTTTTTGGATGTGTTGGAATATAAAACCTGTTAAGATCAGTTTCACCTGTTCTCCCCCGCTTGCTCATAACGTGCCTGCTCG